CAGCAGCTCCACGTCCTTGTGCTGTTGTTCCCAGGGCTGGAGCAGCTCTGCAGGGGGGTCTCACCTCAGACAGGGCCAGAGGGGCAGAATCCCCCCCTGCCCTTCTACCCACGCTGGGGGATCAGCCCGGGATGTGGGATCAGCCCAAGATGTTTTTACCAAGGGGCAGAAATCGAGTAACCCGGCAAAACAAAGCACAAGGTGATTATCACCCATCTGCTCCTCTTCCCTGTTGTGTGAGCACCATTCTGAGCCCCGCTGGCCCCGGGGTCACCCTGAGCCCCACTGAGACCCACAGACCCCCACGGGAGCTCCTCTTCCCTGTTGTGTGAGCACCATTCTGAGCCCCGCTGGCCCCGGGGTCACCCTGAGCCTGATGTTCAGCTGATTCCCCACCCTCACCTTCAACTCCGGGGATAAAATTTTCCATTCTGTAAGAAAAGCTCCATTCTTTGTCGCTGGACACGTGGGATTTGGTCACCTTCGCATGAATATTCATGGCTTGCATCTGCCTTCGGGAGCAGCCTGGGATTTGTCCTTGTCATTTGCTGCCACACAAACTTTGTACCATTTGAAAGCCCCGTCCGCAAGAAGTTTATTTATTCTTACCAGTCACTGACACAAACAAGCTGAATATGTATTGTTCTGATTTATTAATCAAATCATCATGCAGGACCAACACAAATGCATCAAAGATGCCTGTTCCCAGCTCATAATCTCCTTGAAAAATGACACAGTTTGCCTGACAGATCCTATTTTCTTTAAGCCCATCTGGCTGATGTTAACTCTTTTATGTTCCCTTAATTTCCTACTAATGAAGTTCCATGTAATTGGGTTTAGTGGGATTGACAACAGCCTGAGTTTTTAGAGTGCTTTAAAAACTCTCCCTTTTAGTTACTGACCTCTCAGTGTTTTCCAGTGTTCCAGAACTTCCTTAGTGTGCCAAAACACCTTAAAAAAATCAATGTAACAGGTCAGGAAGCTGGAGGAGCCTTTTCATAGCCCCTTGTGCAGGTTCCCTGCTGGTTCAACGATCTACCTCTGTGATTGCTCACTTATTCCCTCACTGCTGAAATGAAAAGTCATCACCACTGTCTACAAAGTACTGCAGCACCCAGGATCTCCCCAAATTCAGAACCGGTTGTCCTGAGTCACCAGAGCGATGCCATTAGCAGAATTTCTTTCCTTTTTGCTTTTTTAACCTTAACAATCCCTTGCAGATCGCGTTTATTTCAGGTTCTCATTTTGTGCTGATCCATTTTCAGCATCTCCTGGCTCCTCTGCTTCCTTACCTGCTTCCCCCTCTCCCTGCTGGCCTCTTCCCTTCCAGCTGCTTCCATGCTCTCCTCCCCCCTCCTCAATTCAGATGGTGACAGGAGGGCACGATGCCAAGCTATGCTTAGACTCGGTCTCTCCTGTGTCAGTCAGGAAAACACTTCCCAATGGAAAAAGGGAGTTAGTGAACAGATCCAGGAATTAGAAGTGGAAAGAAAGGATCAAACGAGGCCAGATGCTGTTGAGTGGAAGACCAGCCTCCTGCAGGGACCTCAAGCAGCTTCTCTGGGCACATCCCTTCTTCTTTTGGAATGTGGACTGGAGTCCCGGCGTTGCCCCCACACTCTCCTCCTGCTCTCCCTCCTGCCTTCACCAAACCCTTTGCCCCCAGGCTGGGCACCCTCAGCGTTTGCTTCCTCCTCCCCTTGTCCTTCCTGGACCAGGAAAACCACGTGGGATTTCCAGAGCAGTAACAACGCCCCGGGTGCTGACTAAGCCCACAAATCACTGATCCTGTTTGCTCTGGGCATGCAGCAGCCTGGTTTCCTTCTCAAAGGCTGACCTTTATCCCCCTCCACCCCAATCCCAGGGAATAAACACACCCCTGCTGCCCAGAGAGGTGCCTGTGTCTCATTTATCCCCCTCCACTCCAGTCCCAGGGAATAAACACACCCCTGCTGCCCAGAGAGGTGCCTGTGTCTCATTTATCCCCCTCCCTCCGCTGCCTTCCACATTTTTGCCACGCGGTGCCAACTGAAAGCACCCGCCCTGTGCCCATAAAATGCAACCTTGCCCTTCCCAGGGGGGAAAGCTCATGGCTTGGCTGCCTTTTTTGCAGGAAGGAGAAAGGGATGGTGTTGGGATGGAGAGGCAGAAGAAGTGAGTAACCAGAGGGAGCCACTCCTGCTTCATGGCTGCTCCCGCTTTCCGGAGGGTGGGAGAAGCACTGTCAGCAGATGCCACCTCGGAGAAGGGCCACAGCTCCCTCTGAGCTGGTTGTCACTATCCCACACACTTTGATGCCACCCACAGCAGTGGCAGCAGCCGGCCTGGATTGCCAGAGGCTCTGGATGGTGAATTATAGGGATTCCACCCTGGTCCTGCTGCTCCCGGGCAGGTGCCCTCGCCCAGACCTGGCTCCCTGTGGTTTATTGCTCCTACAAACATTCCTCCACACACATCCACAACCACAATATAATCCAGCCTTCCACAAGATATTTATGGAGGATAAATCCACATTCTCCAGCCATTAGGCTCTGTACTTAAAATCCTGCTCCGCTTTACTTTTCAGCACCGACATAAATTTTTAAACCTCTCTAATATTATTGTACTGTTCCCTAAATCCCTGACTGGGACATACCTGAATGCTTCTAACTATGACTCTTGTTTTCACATCTATTTTATTCTGCCTTTTTATCTGAATACAAGAAATTAATAGCTCGGACAGACTGAAACAGTGCCAAGGTGAACTTCAGCCATGGAGCTCTGGCTTCAGCCTTCGAGGAGGACTTTTCAAATCTGAGTTTCTGCTTCAATTAAATATGGTTTGGGGATGTCTGGTGGCAATTTTGGGGCGAAGATCTTTTGGCAAGTTGTACTGGGGTTTCTAAAGTCCCACCAAAACCCACATGGTGTGGTTTAACTTCGTCAAGGCGGGATTTGAGGACCTGATGGATCCCCATCTGAGGCTCAGAGCTGCTCCATCTGGGAATCCTGTGCTTGGGCTGCATGATGGCAGCCACAATTTATGAGGACGAGGGAGACACTCCTATCCCAAAATGTGGGGAGATCTCCTCAATACACGCTCCACTTCCCATCCCAGACAGCTGCAGGAGCGAAATTCCTGCCGTGCCACTCGGCCCATCCTCATTATCCCTGCTGCCACACAACCCAGCTGGGTGGCAATCCTGCTGGATGGAGCAGGGATCTGCTGCCATCCAAGCCATCCTGTCCTTAGGAGGTCACACAATTAGCTGCTGAACACGAGGAGATCCCACGGTCGGGGTGGCCTTTGGGCGACTAAAACAACAACGGAGCTCAGGAGGGAAACCACGGTCCTCCCTTCCCGCTGCCCGTGGGTAGCCATGGCAACGGTGACAACAGCCAGGGCCACCTCGTGTGGCTTCCAGCCCTGCCCTTTCTGGGTGGGGAATACCCAGGGCCCTTCCTGAAAGCCATTGTTAACAGGCCTTTGCCAAAGGAATTCAACGCTTCCTCTCCAACATCAGGGAGCCCAGGCAATGCCACGGCTCAGCAGCAGCAGCAGCAGCAGCAGCTCCATGGCATTCCCAACACCCTGGCGGGGTGTGGGGTGGGTTTTCCACCCCTGGAAGCCCTCCTGCCTTCCCCTGGATTTGTGGGAGCCCTGTTCTATCCATCGGAAGCCACTGAGAGCGTTTCAAACGCTCACAGCAACCCAGTGCCAAGAGGATTTGGGCCACCACAACAAAGCAGCTCAGGTGGCTTTTCCAGACAAATCCAATAAGTGCTCTCTCAAATAATGGATAATTTGGGCAATTCTGATTATACACCCAGTGGATATTTAAAACCAGTACTGGCAAGAGAAATTTTACTCCCCTGGCACTTCTTTGCAGCAGTGACTCTCCCTCTCCCTGCACTGCCCAGGAGTGGAGCCCTCAGGCCCTCGCTGTCCTCCCAGGATCCCCGGACTAAGATCCCAGAGATCCCTCTGGATTTTCAATGTCATTGACACAAACAAACCTTGGCACAGCTGCCCAGGGCGGTGGTGGAGTCCCCATCCCTGGAGGGATTTAAAAGCCCTGTGGATGTGGCCCTTGGGGACATGGGGCAGTGGTGGCCTTGGCAGTGCTGGGGGATGTTGGACTCGATGATCTCAGAGTGCTTTTCCAACCTTAATGATTCTGTGATTCCATGACACCTAGTGCTGGTTGTCTCAACTACAGCCTGAGCCCAAACACTGATGGATTTTGTGGTGTGGATGATTTTATGATGCTCAGTGTTCTGGATCCAGGGGTTTTGTGATGTGGATGATTTTGTGATGCTCAGTGTTCTGGATCCAGGGGGTTTTGTGATGTGGATGATTTTGTGATGTTCAGTGTTCTGGATCCAGGGGTTTTGTGTTGTCCATGATTTTGTGATGGTCAGTGTTCTGATCCAGCTTCATCAGCCTCTCTCTTTGTGAAGGTGACGAGGTGCCTACACCGTGTTGTCCCAGTAGGAGGGAGTTCCACAGGCTCTGTCCACATCAGGACCAGAGCTGTGCAGCAGGAGCAAATCTCTGAGGGGACCAGGATGGTGCTGAGGGACCAGAGTCCCCACTGTGACAGGACATGAGGGACATGGAGCATATTCCATGGTTTAAGAGAAGGGTGGGGAGGCCCTGGCACAGGTTGCCCAGAGAAGCTGTGGCTGCCCCTGGATCT